GGCGGTAGTGGCGGTGGCAGTTCGCGGCGAGGGCGACGGCTCTGAGGCCGAGTGGCGGTCCGGCGGAGACCTCGGGGCCCTCTTCCACATGATCTTCTTGGTGAGTGCATGTTCCACATCTGCCCGCGCGGAGTGCGCGGCTCCTTGCCTGGCGGCCGTGCTGCTCCGGCCTAGGGCCGCAGCCTGCGCCTGACGGAGGGCCGCCCGGTCCAACTGACCCCTGGGCCCTGGGCCCTTCTCTCCAGCGTCGGGAGAAGTGGGGGTGGGGGCACACGGTTAGGCCGTGGGGAGAGACGTGGCGGTGCCCAGGGGCCGGAGCAGCCTGGGGCGGACGAGACGGAGGGACGCGTGGGGGATGGGATGGGAAGGGAAGGGACAGGAGGATCGCTGGGCGGCTTCGGGTGAGAGAGGCGAGCGACCTGGCAGCTAGGGAATTGAGTAGGGGAGGTGAGGAGGAGGGAGACTGTCTTCTGATTGCTGCTGGTGAAGATGTCTTGCTCCGGAGATTCTTGACAAGCTGGGCGCACGGGTCTTGGGGGCAGCCCACCCACCCTAAACATACACACCGTACTTGGCATCTTTCCACTTCCTGCTGGAGGTCTGTCAGTGAAGGGCTGTTGGTTGCGTTCATCTCCTTTTCTTCAATATCGCCTTTTATTGACCGGCAGAATTTAAATGCATGCTGGCTAGGCAAACCATAGAAACAAACAGGGTCCTGTGTATAAATCTGCGTAAAAACAGGAAGGCATGATGATATTGTTCAGATGAGAGCTAGGGCAAAGGAGAAATCAGTGTTTTTATTTTAACATTTCTGACAAAAATAATTTGAGTGAGGCTTTGAACTCGAAAGGGTTTTAACCTGGAATGCGCCAGTTGGTGGGTAGAATTTAGGGGGTCCTTGAACTGGAATGGGGTTGAAATCACATCTTTATTTTTATTATCTGGTAACTGTATTATCATTTCCTTCAATTATGAAGGTAGGCACAAACTACGGTAGAATTAGCAATGCCTGTGACTTTATCATGAATAAATATTAGATTTTTTGTATTGTGTTTTACAGTTGTTACAGATATCGCAAAAATGTCATTTATGCTTATAATTTATTTGAATTATGATATTATTAGACTCACTATTAGATCTTGTTATTTAACATGATAATAAAGCTGCACATATAGTACAATATCAGGGTTTTTAAAAATTGTTATGCTCATAGTTTAGTATAATTAGTTTCTTTTGTAATTGCGTACATTTAATTATGCATTTAAAAGCAATCTGAGAAGAGGTCCACAGACTTTGCAAGACAACCAAAGAGATCCATGGCACAAAAAGATTAAGAACTCCTGAAGTAGAAAGAAGGTTTTGGAATCTATAAGTCTGCCTGGAAGAATATTTCAATCATTAGAAGAGATAAAAGATTAGATAGATAGGATGACAGTGTAGATGAAAGGGGGAATTTTGTAATCAGGAAAGTAAAAGAAAAGATTTGACTGGAATCAGAGTAATAGGTTTGAAAGCTAGAACAGAAGACAGGTATTTCATTCAGGGTACTGGGCAATCGACAGAGTAATCTGAGGAAGAAAGGGAAGTGAGTACTTTGGCCTGTAGATTTTTGTGTTAAGGCACCTTCTAGTTCCAAGGGATTGAAGCCCTCCAAGCTCTTGTGTAAGCCTGTGAAAGAAAATTTTAGTGTGTGTTGGTTTTAAGTCATGTAGATAGTGTGGCTTTTAAAGATAGGAGGGTATTCAGATTTTTCTATCCTCAAGTGAAAAACTGTTGGATCTCCAAGTACATTTTCCTATTGCTATTATTCTTCTTTTCATATCTAATAGAAAGTAAATGTGCAGATTATGGAGTTGGAGAGTTGCTAAGTTATTTTTTTGAAATTCCATTTTAAATTCTTGTAATTCAGCTTCATTTTGGCATCAGACTGCTCACTGACAAATCACTCATGACTTTTTTTTCAGAGTATGTGTGACTTGAAATTTGCACCTGTTTGTAAAGGACCTGTCAACATCTTGTGAGATTTTTTTCCTCTAAAATATTAGCAATAATGAAAAACCACTGCAGCAGACTTTTTCTGGAAAAGATTAAAGGGAGGGTGCAGAAAGGTGAAGAAGAGTGTTTTGTGAAATACCTGTTGGTGCTGAAATAGTTTATGTTGAATTAAACACACCATATTACAATCACTGCCCTGAAGAAGTATTGCCTGATACTTTGTGTCCTTACACTGCCCCCTTGGTCATTCTTTCTCTCCTGCCCCTTTATTTTATTTATTGTATATATCTATCTGGCGTCATTTTATTTGTATGTATATTTATATGTAAAGGGTCAAGAAAATTTTGATTGGAGATTCTACTACTAAATGAGAATAGGAGATTAGGGAATGCTATGTGGAGGAGATGGCATTTGAACTGGACCTTCAATCATGTGATTAGCTTTGGGGATATTGAGAAAGGCCTTCAGGTGAAGGGAACAACTTGAACAAATACTGGGACAGAGGAATTTGGAAATCAAATCGAACATCTATGTCAGCCTCCCTCCCTCCCTTTCTCCTTCCCTTCTTCCCTCCCCTCCTTCCTTCCTTCCTATGTGTTAGGTCAGGAAAAATGGGGGGAAAAGATTACATATAAAGGTAGTTTGTGATGAACAAAGGCCAAAAAAACTCTAGGCTGCCCAGGTGATAGTATGTGATCGATTGCCTGCAGGTGGCTCACTCCCTTCTAGAGCCCACTACAGTGAAATTGCTCACAGGGAACCTGAAGTCTGTATACCCAAGAGGGACCAGAGGGGCATTCTGGGGAGATGAAAGGAGTATGGGCTGTGGAGTCAGACAGAGCTAGTTCTGAATTCCTTCTCTGCTGCATAATAGCTGAATGATTAGGCAGTAAGTTATTTGACTTTTCTAAACCTGTTTCCTCATTTGTAAAATGGAGTTGATAAATACCTACCACATAGGATTAATTCCAATAATAATCACATATGTAAAACCTCAGGAACATGGCTTTCGCTCAGTAATTGCTAGTTATCTTTTGGCGTTCCAGCTTTCAACCTGCTTTTGTCCTTTTCCACCTTCATACCACATCCATGACTTTAAAATAAGCACTCCTCTTCTGGTGCCCTCTTGGCCACTGTCACAATGCTGTCACTTCCCACTTCACCTAGTTGGCTCCATTGTGAGTCTGTGAGAGGCTTTCCAGTGATGGCACTTAGCATTTCCCACCTCACAAGGTGATGCTGCCTGATACTGGCATTCTGGAAATTGCCACAATATGTATTAACTTTTCTTTGGTGCAGCTAACAATACTGCTCTTTAAATGCAATGTGCTTCAGTTTAAATTAGTTTATTTGGAAGAATTACCCCTAATACTGCAGAAAATAGAAGTGGAAAAGTGGTTATATTCCCAATTGTAAGACATTTCACTCTTATTTATTATTATTATTTTTTTTAGGAGTGAGTATATTGGGGAGTTGGTTATAAATTACGATTCTCCAAGGTAAAAAGTATGACCTTTTAGGGGTAAAAGTCTGATATAAGTGGAATGCTTCCTACTTGCTTTGGAAAGACCAAAAAATTGAAAAAAAACCTCAAATAGTTATTTAAATTTTCCCCTTCAGCTTTCTTTTGTTTTCACCACACACATCTTCTTTGGAGTTAATTTTTTCTCAGGCAAGAAGGATTTCAGTTATATATATTTTTTTACATTTGAGCTGCCTAAACTTGTGTTTGCATAGAATGATTTGTGGCGTTCACTCTTTAATCCTAATCAAGATATTTTCATTTGTAAAGGAACTAGGACCAATAATTTCTGTATTGTGTACACATTTCGGAAGAAGCTTTAGACACCAAGCTGTTTGATTTCTGTTTTTTAAAATTATGGGTAATTAAAATTTCCTTCTTTATGTTTACCTGTATTTTCTGATTTTTTGAATGTGTTTCAATGTGTATTATGATTATGTAAAAACATTTGCAAAAAGATAGTTCTTCATTGTTCCTAAGCTGAAACCTGGTTTTGAACTCTGCAATGCAAAGGTCAGAAGAAGTGGTGAATATTTGTTGATACTTGAGGTTCTCATATTTGATACATATAAATTAATGGTTGAACAAATGTTTTTAAAAAGTTACTTATAGACTTCCTAACTATCTGTATAATGACTTTTTTTTTAAGTTTGAAGCTAAACCAAGTATTTGATAAGTACCTGAAAGGAAAATGTAACTTATTGCAAGCACTGTAATTAAATTATATTTACTAAGCCAAAATTATCTTTATGTTCATCTTTTTTCTAAGCCATTTAAAAAAGATAAGGCTTTACATAAAAAAGGATGAAATATTGTCATTTGCAGCAACATGGGTGGACCTAGAGAATGTTATACTTAATGAAGTAAGTCAGACAGAGAAAGACAAATATTGTATGATAATCAATTATATGTAGAATCTAAAAAATAATATAAATGAATCTATATTCAAAACGGAAACAGACTCACAGACATAGAAAACAAACCTGTGGTTACCAAAGGGGAGACAGGGGTGGAGGGATAAACTAGGAGTATGGGATTAACAGATACAAACTACTGTGCATAAAATAGGTACGCAACAAGGATTTACTGTATAGCACAGGAAATTATATTCAATGTTTTATGATAAGCTCTACTAAAAAAATCATTTTGCTATACACCTGAAACTAACACAATATTGTAAATCTATTATATGTCAATAAAAAAAGAAAGAAAATAAGGCTTTAAACATAATGTAACTGGAAAAACAAGCAAGATGTCTGCTCATTAAGATGTCTGTCCAAAAAAGTGCCTGCTTGGTCTTGCTCCCGTATAATGCCTGTACACGCACGCTGGAGACTAGTGGAAAACATTTCATCAAGCACATTCAGTTCTTTATTTTTTTCCTTCCTAATTTATATTTCCAATTTATTCTCTGTGAATCTTTGAAAGTATTAAAATTGGAAATTTTAAAAGACAAAAAAATTAGTCAAGGGATATTAGCTTATTTCCCTTTTCTTAGAACCAGAATCAAATTATCTTCCCAAGCAATCTAAATTTTATCCAAATACATCTTTTTAAAAGTTTTTAGGACTCAGGCTAAAGTC